CTCCTGGTGTTCTCTCCTCCTCCTCCTCCTCCTCCTCCTCCTCCTCCTCCTCCTGGTGGTCCTCGTTCTCCTCCTCCTGGTACTCTCCCCCCCCCTCCTCCTCCTCCTCCTCGTCCTCGTCCTCCTCCTCCTCCTCCTCCTCTTCCTCCTCCTCCTCCTCCTCCTCCTCCTCCTCCTCCTCCTCCTCCTGGTACTCCTCCCCCTCCCCTCCTCCTCCTCCTCCTCCTCTTCCTGGTCGTCCTCCTCCTCCTGGTCGTCCTCCTCCTCCTGCTCGTCCTCCTCCTCCTCCTGCTCGTCCTTCTTCTCCTGCTCCTCCTGCTCCTCGTCCTGCTCCTGCTCGTCCTCGTCCTCCTGGTCTTGCTCGTCCTCCTCCTCGTCGTGCTCTTGCCCCTGCTGAAAATGTGGCCCAGGAATGGGAGTTCTGGGAAGTCGAAGAGCACGAAGTTGCCTACAGTTGGCTACGGGCATTCAAAATGTGGCCCGGGAATGGAGTTCTGGGAACTCGAAGAGCACGAAGTGGCCTACAGTTGGCTCCGGGCATTCAAAATGTGGCCCGGGAATGGAGTTCTGGGAACTCGAAGAGCACGAAGTGGCCTACAGTTGGCTCCGGGCATTCAAAATGTGGCCCGGGAATGGAGTTCTGGGAAATAGAAGAGCACGAAGTGGCCTACAGTTGGCTCCGGGCATCCAAAATGTGGCCCGGGAATGGCGTTCTGGGAACTCGAAGAGCACGAAGTGTGTGACTGTTGCATCCGGCCCCCCAGAATGTGGCCCGGGAATGGCGTTCTGGGATGTCGAAGAGCACTTTGTGTGTGACTGTTGCATCCGGCCCCCCAGAATGTGGCCTGGGAATGGAGTTCTGGGAAGGCGAAGAGCACGAAGTGTGTGACTGTTGGTGAAAAACGAGCCCGGCTCATGCCGCCCGGAAACGCCCCAACACCTGCCCGGACCCCCCTGTGGAGTGATCTGTGAGCTCTTTTGAGACCACTAGAAACCTATCAGTCTTCGCTGTTAGGTAAAAAAAAACAGCCGCAGGCGGAAGCGCCCGCGGCGGAAGGTCGCGAACGGGCCGCGGACGCGACTAAATTACCTAACGCGCGCAGGGCCGCGGATCAGGCGGCTCACGACAGCGTCCAGGGGGGCGAGGCCGATGCAATCCAGGTGCCATGACAGCCCCTGAACGGGCATGCAGGTGCGTCCAACGGGCCTGAGGTAGGCACCGAGACGACCTAGCGCAGCCAAAATGGCGCGATAACGTTCCAACGTCCAGGTGCGGACAAGGGACCGACCCGAGGACGTCAGCCCCAGCCTGTCGGGTAGCACAGACGACGGGGAGGTAAGTCCAGCGAGGATCCCGACGGCGGCAGCGAGCCGCGGCGCCAGAACGGCATCAAGGTGTAACTGGTGGGGATACGCGAAGCGTCTAGAATTCTTGAGCTTCAGCTCTAGTGGCCGGGGTGGCTTTGCCGGGGTAGGGGGACGGGGGGGTCGATTGAATTCCCGGGGCGGGATCGGAGCTCCAGCGCAGTCTGGGGCGGCCCCCTCGCCCGGGAGGGCCCAAGCATGGGCCAAGAGGGCCCCGAGTCGCCGAACGATCGCTACGGGGCGCCCAGGATGCCCCCGAGCCTGGTCCAGAAACCTCCAGGATGCCCTCAGATCAGGGGGACGTAAGACCTGGGTACAGGGGACTCGGAAATCCCCGACGAGGTCGTCAAAAAAATGACGAGGCCGAGCCTGCATTTTGACGAGGCCTCCCGCTGCAGACATCCCACGAAACTCCTGCTCGTCAAAATCCGAGTCGCGGTCGTCAAAAAACGATGGCGAACCCGAGTCCTGGCAAACCCGGGTCTTACGCTCCCCCGATCCAAGATGCCCTCAGAAGACCTGAAAAAAAAACCTCCCGAAAAAGGCCAAAATAAACAACACATGTCCAATTCCCTATGGCAAGCGTGCAATTGTAGCCGGCTCGCCTCTCGGGCCTTCAGAGCGTCGCATACGCCTCAAGAGAGCCCCAAAACGGCCCAAGAAGCTGCCAAGAGGGTTCCAAGACTGCCCCGGGCCCAAAATGGCTCAGGAAGCCGGCGGAAAAAACCCAAGAGGGCCCAAGGACGGACCCAAGAGGCGCATGAGAGGCGCCAAGACGGCGGAAGAAATGCCGAAGGCGGCCGTATAAACCCCCAGCAGGCCCCCAGAGGCCCCCACGAAACCTTAAGAGGCCCCACGACGCCTCCAACGGGCCCCGAAGAGGCTCCCTGAAGCCCTCCAAGGCCTCCAAGAATGTCACACATGCACCCAAGACGCCTTCGAGAGGCCTCCAAGCTACTTCCAAGACTCCCCCCTCGAGACGCCTCCAAGCTGTTTCCACGGCGCTTACGTCTGAACACAAGCGCTACAATACAAAAAGGTTCGTCTACGCACTCACATATTATCCCGTCTTCGGTGTCCTTCACATCCATGACCTAACAAAAGGGCCTGCAGATGACCGCGCGAAGGCCCCAGAGACCCCTAAAGCCATGGTTCCCAGCAGAGACAGAGTGAGTGCGCCAAATCGGCGAGGTGCCAACCCGAAGAGGGCCAACACCTGGCCCCAAAGAGGCTTTCCAACAACCGCAGAACACCTCCAACAACCGCCGAAAATCTCCTCATCCTCGTCATGCTCCTCCTTCTCCCCCTCCCCCTCTTCCACTTTCCGCTTCCTCCTGCTCCTCCTCATCCTCAGCATCCTGCTACTCCTGCCCCTCCCCCCCCACCCCCTCCCACCTCATCATGATCCTCCTTCCCCTCCTCATCCTACTCCGTTGCCTCCATTCCCAATTCTCATCATCCTCACCGCTCGCCGTCGTCGCTGGTCTCGTGTGCTTCCGGCAGCAACGGAAGCGTCCCGGATCGGCGGCACTGGCCGTAGGCCACTACAATAGCTCTACATCCACATGGTCACCTGGCCAATTTCGCGCACCCCTCAAGCGCATCGTGCCCCCATGAGGACTTCCGCTTCAGGCCCCAGCGACAGGACCCGCATGTTTGCCCAGCCCATTTCAGGGCACACCTCACACGCTTTTTGGTCGCAAAGGTAGGAAGCTCTACGGCAAGGTCCGCATGACTACCCGCCCAATTTCGGCGCACCCCTCACACGCTTTGTAGTCCCCTGAAAAGCCCCTAAGAAAACCCAAGTGGCAAGATCCGCATGGTTACCCGGCCAATTTCGGCGCACACCTCACACGCTTCGTGACCTCATACAGAGCTCCACCGAAGGCCCAAGTGGCTGCGGTTGCATCTAGGGCTCCCAACTTCGCGCTTCGCGCTGCGCGAAGCGCGAATAACTTCGCGCTCTCGCGCCGCCCTCCCAAAGGGAGAATAGGAGGACGAGGAGGAGGGGGAGAAGGAACGAGGACCGCGAAGCGCGAAGCGCGAATAACTTCGCGCCCTCGGGGGAGCCCTTGTTGCATGGGGCCCCGCTAGATTTGGGCACACCCCTCACGCCTTCAGCGTGGTTCGACGCTCTCCGCGAAGCGCAGTGCTCCCGCGCACTGAAGGGTCCTGCTTCTAGTTGCCACGGCTTGCAAAAAAAAAAGATGGTCGGGCTCTTCGACGGGCTAACGCTTCGATGCTGGAGGAGCAGCATCAGCGGCGAGGTGGGCCCTGGAGGCCGAAGCGGCGAGGACAAGAAACGACAGAACGACGCCGCGGTGGAAGAGCTCTTCTCGTCGCAGCGAACGACGGATGAGAGGAGGAGGAGGAGGAGGAGGAGGAGGAGGAGGAGAGGGACGAGGAGGGAGGAGGAGGAGGAGGAGGAGGAGGAGAGGAGGAGGAGGAGGGGGCCCACTCGTCGTAGCCGATCTCCCCGTCCCCGTCCACGTCCAGGAGGTTGCTGAAGTCCGCGGCTGGCCTGGTGGCGGCCCGCCCCTCAGGGCCACGGCTCAAGCCTCGCCGCCCCGGCTGCAAACCACCTCCCCTCGGCCGGCCTCCCCTGACCCTTTTCTCCTGCCCCTGCTCCTGCTCCCGCTCCTCCTCGTTGAGTAACTACCAAGCAATCGGGACCGAACCCACCGCGTCCCCCGACGGTGGTCAGAGTTGGCTGCATCATGTGTCACGGTGTTGCTGTCATGTAATGCTTTCGGCCGGCGCACAGTTTTACGCTTTCGTCGCGCAGCGATGCAACAAATGTTGCGTTTTGTTGCGCGTCTGGCAATTGCGTACCCAATTATTTACGAGGAGGAGGAGGAGTCCTCGTCCTCCTCGTCCTCCTCCTCCTCCTTCACCCCCCCTGCCCCCCGAACTTCCAGGTCATTAGGTCATTGAAAAACACAGCGGATTGGATCCGTCATTTAGGGCGTCTGTGCGTCGAACTGCTGAAAGCAGCAATGGAGAACGGAACACAGATCATCATTAGAAACTGGCGCAGAGCTCCAGGGACCCCGTATCGAAAAAATCTGAACATCGGAGGTCTGGGCCCATCTCCCCCCTCCCCCTCCTCCTCCTCCTCCTCCTCCTCTTCTTCTTCTTCTTATTCTTTTTCTTCTTCTTCTTCTTCTCAGTATTAGTATTCTTCCTCATCGTCATCGTCGTCGTCATCGTCGTCGCCATCGTCATCGCCGCCGTCGTCCTCCGCCTCCTCGTCCTCCTCCTCCTCCTCCTCCTCTTCTTCTTCCGCCTCCTCGTCCTCCTCCTCCTCCTTCGTCCTCCGCCTCCTCCTCCTCCTCCTCTTCCTCCCCCCTCCTCCTCCTCCTCCTCCTCCGCTCAAGCACTCTGGCACGAGCGCGCCATTTTGGCTTCGCACTCGGCCAGCCCCACGCCGCCACGAGGTGCTTGGGGGACGGCGGGTCGTCCGCGCGCCAGAGCGCAGCAGATCCCGTCGACGAAAGTGGGGACACAGCACACAGCACACGAGATCCCAGGGCCATGGCGAACCCTTGGAGCACGTGTGCGGGATGCGGCACGCATGAGTTCAACGCCAAGCTCTCGGCAAACGGGTTCAAGTGCCGCGTCTGCAACAGGCCCGTGAAGCTCTATGTCCCCAAGGGAGAGAAGAGCAAGGGCAAGGACAGGGGCAACGGCAAAGACACGCAGCTCGAGCGGGAGGTCAAGCCGGCGCCCAAGGGGAGCATCGGCGCCGAGGCCGCCACGCAGCAGACGGTCGTCGCGCTGTCGGGGGCCCTGGCAGTCGTCAAGGATCCCAAGGTGCGGCAGATTCTCGAGGAGCAGCTGAAGCAGTCCCAGCAGGCGGCGGCAGCGGCAGGCCAGCCTTTGGGGGCCGAGGAGGCCGTCCGCCGCGCAGCTGGGGCGTGGCGCGATGCCAGCGCAAAATACCAGCAGGCAGCGCAGCAGGTGAAGCGGTTGGAGCAGAACCTGAGCGTCGCCAGGGAGAAGGAGTCGGAGGCAGCGCGCGTGCTCGCCCTGGCGGAGATCAACCGCCGAGGCGCTGCGCAGGCCCTGGCGAAGGAGACAGGCGCGGTCGTGGAGTCGCCCGCCGCCAAGACGGCCGAGCCGATCTTCAACCTCACGTGGGACACCGAGTTCTTCCAGCAACTGGACGAGCTTGAGTGCAGCGCAGAGGAGAAAGAGGAGCTCCGCAAAGTTGAGGCGGAGCTGAAGGCGGTGCAGCAGTCAGTGCTTAGCAAGGCCGAGGAGATCACCAAGTGGCGCGACAACGTCGAGTCCTTGAAGAAGCAGGTCGCGGAGCGCATCAAGAAGAGGAGGCGCTGCGGGGCTGCTGACGGGACCGAGGCTGCGCCCGCAGGGCCACCTGGGAGCTGTCCTCCTGCAGGTGGCGGAGCGGCCGCCACAGCCGCTCCCTCGGCTGGCGGAGCGGCCGCGGCCGCGGGCGCAGCAGCGGTGGGCGCGCGCGACGGCCCTGGTGCCACGGGGGTCGCAGCGACGCCAGGCAGCCCGTCCGAGGCCGAGATCGAGGCGGAGATGGCCAAGATCAGGGCCGCAGCGGCAGCTGGGCAGGAGGCGGCTGAGGCCGCCAGCAAAGTGAGTCAGTGACGAGCACTTAGTGGAGGTGGCGTTTTTGCGGCGGCGCAGCCTTCACCTTCCTCGGAGTCGCTTGAGCAGGAGGCAGTTTTAGCGGCGGCTCCTCTTCGCTCTTCTTTCTCATCGGAGTCGTCAGGTGCCCCGTCGAGTTCATTGGCAGCGGGCGGAGCACCTTTGTCATCGTCGGAGGCGCAGGAGGTTTCAGAGGTCAGGATGTTCTTCGGCAACATCACCTGCCTCGGGAAGAAGTCATGGCCTTTCCTCAGCTCGGGGGCCACCATGTCCAGGTACGATCTCATCGGGGCCGTCGAGACTCACGCAGGGTGCCACACTCGTACGCAGTGGGCGAAGAAGTCTCGGCTTTGCAAGTGGAAGTTCCTGGACAACATGGCCAGAAACACAGGGAAGGGCACCGGCGCGGCCGCAGTCCAGAGAGCCAACGAAGGGGGCGAGGCACTCTGGGCGCCAGGCCACCGCAATGTGCATCGTTTGTTTGCCAAGGCGTCCGAAGTGACGTCACTGTGCGCTGATGGAGCTGACGCTTTCGACGGATTTATGCCGTCAGTGGTGCACTGCCAAGGCTACTCTTTAGTCTTGATTCTTTTTTATGCGCACCCCTCGCAGGGATTCGGGGGTGCCAACACGCAGCGTTTCGGAAAATTGGGAGCTCTTCTCCAGATGCTACAGTTGCCTTGGATAGTGATCGGAGATTTCAACAGTGGAGTTGACACCTTTCGCAAGTCCAACTTTGTTAGGCGCGTAGGGGGTCACATCAAGCAGTCGGAAGTGGACTACACTTGCGTCGGGAGTGCAGGTAGTACGCATATCGATGTTGTGATGTCGTCTGAGAATGCGTTGCCGTATATTAAGTCTCTTGAAGCTAGATCCGATGTCCCGTGGGGGCCACATGTAGGTTTGGAGCTCACACTTCACGGTTCTGGTGAGCAATTACTGCAGCGTTCTCTCGTCACCGCCCCGCGCCTGCCGCAGGTCCCACGCCCGAGCATCAGTCCCGTGGCAGGGTCGAAGTCGAGCAAGGCGCGTGCGGAGCAGCAGGTTCGGTCACAAATTGCCCAAGACAGGATACGAGCCGACTGTGACGAGATTTTTTCAAATGTTTTTGTTTCAAAAGCTGGCCCCTCTGGCGAACCCACTCAGGACGGTCCCGATCCCCCCGAGGGTCCGAACCCCCAGGAGGTGGCTGAGCCCAGAAGCGGCTCGGACGATTTCGGGAACCTTGTCGAGTTCGGGGCCTTCGAGGATGAGGAGGAGGACCCGTGGGCGTCAGAATCATGCTTTCGGCCAGCTTGCAACCAGGATGCGTGTGATCTAGGAGCCTTTGTTGAATCTGGCGAGTCCGCGCAGCATGAAAGGTCTCCTGTAATTGGCGAAGTTTTGAGGGATGTCTCTGCGGTCCCCACTGTCGAGCGTCCTGGGGGCTCGGGCGTCAGCACGGCTGGCGGTCAGATTGATCCGCCCTCGTCTGCCGATGCCGCTGCGGCCGCCCTTCCCTCTTTCGCCATCCCCCCTTCCACCTGGGCAGCCGTTGCGGCTCAAACTCCGTGGCTTTCACACTCCCTTGAGGACGTCTGGAACCCCATCAGACGGTCCCTCGCTTTCTCGGCAGGGCAGCGCCACATCCTGCCTATCAGCAGTTGCTTCGCCCGATGGGTGACCACGGTCGAGGGCGCGATTGCGGCTCATCGCGGAGGGGCGGCACCAATGCAGTCGAGGGCCAACGGCGTTCAGTTGGTCGTCGGCCCAGTCAGGGAGCCAGAGCGAGTCAGGTCGCAGCCGCTACGCGATGGTGTGGCAGCATGGTGGAGCAGAGGACATTCGATCCTCAAACAGGCGTGTCGACATCGGCGGCGTAACAACGGCAGCTTGCAGATGGGGCATCTTGCGCAAGCAGCGTTGGGTTTAGCGGATCAGCCGTTAGACGGAGCAGGTTCATGTTTTGCAGGCGTGCTCGGGCTCAGCTGGGCCCAATTCCTTGCAGCACTGCGGAGCTTGCAGGCTCAGTCCCTGGACGAGCTCGTTCTGCTGGAGGAGGTGGCGTTCAAATCGGCGAGGAGAGCGCAGAATCGTGCAGCTTCGGCGTCTCTTCGCGACTTTCAGAGTTGGATTGGCTCGGTGGACAGTTTGGGCGCAGTTCACAGGTCCATCAAAGATCTGGCTCCAGGGGTGGACGAGTATCACATCGGGGATAAGAAGCTGGTGCACCCGCTGGAGATTGTTAACTGCAAAATATATCGGTGGCATCAGTTGTGGTCCTCCAAAGTGTCAGAGCACGACGACATTATGCGGGCGTGTGACATGATTCGTGAGCACGCTGGGGTGGAGCAGCTGGTACCCCTCTCCATCGAGGAGGTCAGTGGAGCCCTGGCCAAGATGAAGCCCCGCGCGGGGCAAGGGGTGGACAGGCTGTCTCCCTCGGACTTCAGTCGCTTG